AGCACTGCTAGAAACAACCACAGCAGAGAGAGAAGCCATTTCCTTCTTGGCATCTTCTAGTTCTTTTGACAGCTTGGCAACCTAAAGAAGCAACACAGAAGAAGCACTTCTCACCCCACTTCAAAGACTACTGGAGCTGAAAAGGACCGAAGAAACCACTTAGTCCAAATTTCTGTTCAACCATAGATGGACTGAGTGACTGATCACACGATTCTTCTTAAAGTCACACTGACACTTAGTAGGAGAGTAAAACTAGACCTCAAGTCTTTGTGTTCTTGGTTTTAGTGTGTTTTGAGTTTGACAATAAAACTGAAGTATGTGCTATGCAGGTATTCCCACAGCTGTGCAAATGATCAAGTTAGCAGTATTACAGTATTACTAAGCATTTGTACCTGCAGAGAAAGGAGAATGAAGGTGTCATAGAAGCATAAACTAAGTTGGATGGGCAAATAAGCCAATAGTTTACTGTTTACTCCCAAATGCATTATTTCTGGATTCTGCCATAAGTAACTTTTACCATTCTTTATTGTTTTCTAAATGTTTTGTCTTATATACTATCCTCCCAAACAAGACTAAAACCAGTAAATGACTGTTACAACACTCAACCATCTACCTGATGATCCAGCTGCTCTTCCCTAGCATAGGGAACCTATGACCAGCACAGCTGAGCTATGGAGGGCAGCTGCAGGCACACCGCTGTCCTGCTCAGACATTACCTCTCCCGTCAGCTTGGACACCTCCACTTCCAGATCTTGTTTTTGTGTAGCAATCTGCTGTTTCTCAGAATCCAATGCATCCTTTTCTCCTTGAAGATCCAGAAGTTTCTGCTCAAAGTCATTTTCCATCTTCTTCATTTCTACTTGTAACTCATGCCGGGCTGTTAACTCAGAGTCCAACTAAAGAAGGAAAAAAAAATAAAAAAAAAAAATCAGGCTTCCAGTGATCTTTCTGTCATCACCTCAGCTGTCAACACAACACAAACCTACAGTCAACTGGGAAGAGGAAACCTCAACTGAAGAATTGCTCATATCAGACTGGCCTACGGTCATGTCTGTTAGCATCTTCCTAACTGCTAACTGATGCAGAAGGGTTCAGTCCACTGTGGGCTGTGACATCCCTAGGCAGGTAGAACTGGGATGTGTAACAAAGATAGCTAGCTGATCAAGCCAATGGTAAGAGGCCTGTAAGCAGCATCCCTTAGTGTCTACTTCAAGATCCCGTCTTTGCTTCCCTTGATGACAGACTATCAATCGGAAGATGAAATACACCCTTTCCTCTCCAAGTTGCTTTAGGTCACAGTGTTGACCACAGCGAAAGCAAACTAGGATACTATTCATCTTAGTTAGGAGCATACGGGCTAGTTCCTATAATTTACTATTGTGTCTCAACACCACTCTATACAGCTTACTGATTCACCTAAGTTAATACTTGGAAAAGAAGAGACCAATATGATCTTGACTTTAACATCAAAGTTAAAGGGGGAGGAGACAAGAGATCATGTTCATAGTCTTCCTAGTCTTATGGCTAGACAACAAAGCCAGCTAATCTCTGAAAGACCTTTAACCATGTCCTGGTTAGTTTTATGTCAACTTGACACAAGCAAGAGTCATCAAAGAGGAGGAGCCTCAATTGAGAAAATGTCCCTATAGATAGACAGTGGTAGGGCAGCACTCAGGAGGCAAAGAAAGGCAGAGTTCGAGGCCAGTCTGGTCCAAAGAGTGAGTTCCAAGACAGCCAAGGCTACAGACAGAAATCCTATCTCAAAAGACCAAAAAAAAAAAAGAAAAAAAAAAAAGAAAAAAAGAAAGGGCCCCTGTAAAATTGGGCTATAGTCAAGCCTGTGGGACATTTTCTTAATTAGTGACTGATGTGGAAGGCTCAGTCCATTTTTAGGCAGGATCACCTCTGTAGGCTGGTGTTTCTGGCTTCTTTTAAGAATGCAGGCTAAGCAAGCCATGTAAGTAGCAAGCCTCATGGCCTCTGCATTAGCTCCTGCCTCCAGATTCCTGTCCTGCATGAGTCCCTGTCCTGGCTGCCTTTGATGATGAACTGTTACATGGAACCGTGAGTGAAACAAACCCTTTCCTCCCTAAGTTGCTTTTGGTCATGGTGTTTCAGTAAAGCAACAGTAACCCTAACTAAGACAAACCAGGACAGCTGCCTTGCCCAATTCCAGCCACAGCAGGAATCCTTAATTACTACAGAGATGAAAGGAATTGAGAAATATTCCAGTTCCTACCACTCCTAGAGTAAGACTTAAGATGCACACTTACACAGAGTATCATCTGTCTTTGCTGACTTGCCTGGTAGCCCAAGAATGTTGTAAGATCTCCTCTAGTTTCTCATTTCATATCAACACCCTCTTTCCCACTAACAAGATTTCCTCACAGGAACTTTAGATTCTGAATGCTTTCAAAATATCACAGACAATTCTGTCTCACAATTCTGTCAAAAAACAATTATCTTCAAAGAAAAATATATACCCCAAGTTTACTTGTGTGTGTGTTTTTCATATAAGCATACTCGGGGATAACATTAAAAACTGAACTGAAGTTTTCTCACATGATAAGCAAGCACTCTAGCACTGATCCCCTCATACACACCTTTTTTTCCAGCTCTGTAGCTTTGGCCTCGGATTTTTCCACCTTTGTTTTATCAATCATTTGATCTGAAAAGAAAAAACAATTTGATCTGAAAACAACTCAGTAAGTAAAGTTCTCAGTTTCCCAAGCCTGCACCTCTGCTCCTAAGCCTCCAATATACTCAAGGGCAGTTATCTATCCTTTTTTGTTTGTATGTTTGTTGAAACAGGGTTTCTCTGTGTAACATTTCTAGCTGTCCTGGAACTCGCTTTGTAGACCAGGCTGGCCTCGAACTCACAGCAGGATCCATCTGCCTGTGCCTCCCGAGTACTGGCATTAAAGGTGTGTGCCACCACTTCCTGGCTTAGTTACTTGTCTGTTCTTTTGTTGCTGTTACTCTTAATGTTCTACACTAGAACAAGAAATGCAAGTTTCAATTAAATTCAATTTACACTTTTAAATTTTCTGTATATAGCTGTTTTATTTATTTTTTGGTTTTTCGAGACAGGGTTTCTCTGTGTAGCTTTGGAGCCTATCCTGGCACTCTCTCTGGAGACCAGGCTGGCCTCGAACTCAGAGATCCGCCTGCCTCTGCCTCCCGAGTGCTGGGATTAAAGGTGTGCGCCACCAACGCCCAGCAGTTGTTTTACTTTTTGTGTGTACATGAGTGTATATGTATGTGTTGAGTATAGGCATGTGTAAGTAATATGTGTGGAAGTCAGATGACAACTATCAAGAGTGGTTCTTGCCACTATATGGAATCTGGGGCAAACTCAGGTCCTCAGGCTTGCATGCAAGTACCTCTACTTACTGCCGCCTTGGTGGCCCTCAAGCTATGATTTCTAAATGCAAGGTAAGGAAATTACATGAAGAATGCCTGTGTGACATTTGTGATTCTGAAACTGTTTCCGGGTCAGAGAACAGCTGAAGTCTCTGCAAAAAAACAGTGTATAAGAAAGGGCAAGATTTTCAATTTGTGTAGAAATAAACTAAAGAGACTACATAATACTAGCAAAGAGAGTACTGAGAAAGAACATAAGTAGGGACAAGAGTGATTTCTTCTTTCATCGAAAGAAGAAAACAAAGGGTAGAAGCACTGAGTGTTTTGACAAGCCAAGTAGGAAAGCATGCTTACCAATCAATCCCTCAATATCAATCTGGAGGTGCCGGCACTTGAAGTCAGGATCCGTCCCATTCTTATGTAGAACTATCTGAGAAACACATTCTTCAATCAATTTATAGTACTGTGGCCTATTAAAGAAACAAAACAGACTTATCAAAAGGAAATCAAAGTGTAACTTCCAGAAGTATTCTGGATCAAGAAAGGTAACTGCTTTGACAATCAAAAGAATTAATAAGTATTCTAAAAAGAGCTTTGGTGAAGCTAGTAGAAGCACCACTGCTGTGCTAGGGAATTCTCCTATTCCAGATAGGCTTTTATTCTTTCTACTTCAGATATTCAACAGCCCCTACAGGCTGGAACTGTAGTACAGTGGTAAAACATGAATGCCAACGTGTGTGTGTGTGTGTGTGTGTGTGTGTGTGTGTGTGTGTGTGCGCGCGCGTGCGTGCGCGCGCACGCGCGCGCGCACATGTATAAAAGTGCCCAAAGAGGTCACAAGTGTCAGATGAATTACAGGTGGTTTGTGAAGCTGATGTGAGTGCTAGGAACTGCTGGGTCCTCCACAAGAACAGTGTGCATGTTTAACTACTGAGCTGTCCCTCCATCCCAACATGCTTTCTTAACATCTGCTTCCCAGTGCCAATACTTTCACATCTAAATAAGCAGTCAGACTTGATTCTTATGATCCTTCTTGTGCTACTACTGATCTCTACTTCCAGGAAACCAGGAAGAATTTTAGGTTACCATCTCTCTTTACTGTCATCCTTACCCACTCCTTTCTAAGGGTATTTTACTTGATACACAATGACCTATTGTATAGAGGCGCCTTTCAGCTGAATTAAAACAGTTGATGTGGATCAAACAGTTGACAACTTCCTTTAGATCTGTGACTAGCAAACCTAACCCACAGACTTTTTAAACTTTCTAGAACAATCTTTGAACTTAAAGATGATGCTTTTCCACTTAGACTCAAAATTTCCCACAGGTATATCGGCTTACCTAGCTTCATAATCATTTCGGACCAATAAGAGATGCTGCAGGATAGACAGGAAGTGTGGCTCTGCCTTTGAATCTTTCACTGTATTTAAAAGAATCTGGAAGACTTCACCAAAGTCAGTAGAAAGGACAGGCTAAGGAAATCAAACATTTAGAAGCTGTTTGATAGGTGACTTACTCGAGGAAAAGTTGCAAGATGCCACTTCCACTCTAAGAGCTGTTCCTAAAACATCACTAGTTCCTTTAACCAAGAGCGCTAACTATCCATAGACACAGGGTTCCTAGTACTTAGCTTGAAGATTTAAGACAAAAACTAAAAATAGAACCACCTCAAAGTTACCTGTGGCAGATAATCAAATACTAATAGTAATATTGCTCATCAGTCCAAAGAGTTCTACATAGCACCCATCTCGGCAAGTTATCATGTTCTAGGAAACATACAGATTTGGATGGATGCTTTAGGATGTGAGGGCAATCTTGTTGTAACATCTGTTACTTTATCACTTCACTGACTGCCAGGTTAATGGATGCTTTCATGTTAAAAAGATCACTTTTACTGGTTTTTTTGATTTATGCTGGACAACAATATGAAGACACCAGCTTTATTTATTAAAAATTAAAAAACAATATTTTTTGAGACAGGGTCTCTCTATGTAGCCCAAGATGCTCTGGAGCTCGCTATGCACACCAGGCTGTCCTCAAACTCAAGATACCTCCTAAGTGCTCAGGGACAAATGCAAGGCATGTGCCAACACACCCAGCCTTATGCCCTATTCTAGGTCATCATTTCCCACACTATTTCATAATTCAGTCATCAGTCATAAAAGGATATTCCATCTCCATGCGGATATCATCCAGTCGTCCCTTCAGGTCAAAGAAATCTTCCTCCGCTTGTTCATCAAACACAGATAGCTGTACTCTCATATCATCATTTTCAATCTCCCGAAGCTCCTGGCAACGATAGAAGAAATCAGGGAATCCTATGTGCCTAGAAATCCAAACCTTCCAACCTAGTGCTTAAGCTGAAAATCAGAATCACCTCAGGGATGATCGGGGCTGTGTGGGCAGGAAGGAACAATCCAGCCTTTCTAATGCAACATTTTATCTTACCTGCAACACCTGATGCAGCCCCAAACGCATCAGTTCACTTCGAATGTGAACTCGGAAGTCAAGTTCTTCTGCGGGAGTGATGAGAGCATTGATCAGCTGTAGGCATCCCACCTGAAATAAGCAAATCCAGCTGCTATGTCAACATTAAGTCTTATAGATAGGGATTCCATTATTTATATACATTCTGAAGCTCCATAAAAGATACATAATAAAAACTATATAGGAAAGACCATTTTACTAGAGCAACAAAACATTGTTGAGTGCAAGTCTAGAGTACTTAGCATATAAATGAATCCAAGGATCTAACCTTGACTTTCCTAAGGTGCTAATAAATAACTGGTTTATCCCCCCAATATCACAAGGAGGAAAAAGTAGTTCTTTGTTTTTTAGAGAAAAAAAATCATTTTCTTCAGAGGAGGGAAAAAAAAACACTAAAATATGAAAAACATAGTTGAGAACAACTATTATTTTTATTAAAATCTTTTTTTCAATTATGTGTGCATTAATGTGTGTTTGTGAATGCACACATGAATGCCAGTGTTCAAAGAGGCCAGAGCGCCAGTTGGTGGTAGCAGCACACCCCTTTAATCCCAGCACTTGGAAAAGCAGAGACAGGTGGACCTCTGTGAGTTCAAGGCCAGACTGGTCTACAAAGCAAGTTCTAGGACAGCCAGAACTGTGACACAGAGAAATTCTGTCTCAAAAAGCAAAAAAAAAAAAAAAAAGGCCAAAGTTGTCAAATACCCCTGGAGCTGGAGTTACAGCAGGTTGTGACAAGGGTACTGGGAACTGAACTTGAACATGGGCCTCTGGAAGAGCAATATATGCTCTTAACTGATGAACCATCTCTCTAGCCCCTATATAGTCTATTAAAAGACCAAATGATACTAGACATGGTGGTACAGACCCCATGCTTCAGGAGTCAGGAAGATCACCAATGCCTGCCTGGGTAATTAACACATGTGTAATCCCAGGACTTGGGAGGTAAGAGGATCAGATATGTCTAGCCTAGACCATATAATGAGCCTGAAGCCAGTCCAGACTATAATACAAAATAAAAATATCTTAAAATAAAAAAAATAAAATTAAAAAAATAAAATAAAAAAATAAAAAGGAGCTCCTTGTTCAGTGGTAGTTCAGAAGTAGGGGACTTACCCAACACAAGCAAAAACCTAGGTTCAATTTCCCATACCACAGAAAAATGAACAACAAACCAATTCTGGTCTTTGCATTTTGAATTCTATTCTATGTTCACCAAGTTTTAAGGGTGTATATACATACTTTGAGTGCAATTGAGGTCCCACTTTTTAATCCATCCAGCAGTGGCTGGAAGCGTTCAACCTCATCCATTTCAGCTCTCTCTGTCATTGCCTCCAAAACTCGTTCATTCCTGTCCAAGATAAAGGAAAGCGAATTGCCCAGGTACACTGACACAGACATGGATAGATTTGACAGGAAATAAACCAATTAGGAAACAAGACATTATCAATGCTTCAGGTTTCTGAAATTATTCTCTTAATTCCCCTAGACACTAGAATCTGATAATAGAAATGGACTATCTTTTAAGAAAATAATTTCCTAAAACCCTTCCTAGACTCCTAACCATGAATACAAAATTAAGACCTCTGAGCTACGAAATATAAATTAATCTTTTTAAGGACCATTTAATATTAAGAGTACTGATCAATTTCTAATACACATTACAAGTGGTCCACTTCTAGTAATCTATCCAAAATAAATACATAAATGCAGTAGAAACTATGTATAGAGATGTTTGTTATGGCATCATTGGTAATGGAAAAAAATCTTATCTACAAATTCAGAATCTGCTTAAGTATACTTAAAGTCTAGAAATAGAAGAAATGTTAAATAAATGAGAAAGAGGGCAGAAATCAGTTTGTAGTATTTTATATACATACAAACCAAATGCTACATGACCACAAAAAATAGTAAAGTAAGTTTATTAAGTACCATTAAAGAATGATGTCCAAGCTGGGCGTTGGTGGTGCTTGCTTTTAATCCCAGCACTCGGGAGGCAGAGGCAGGTGAATCTCTGTGTGCTCAAGGCCAGCCTGGTCTACAGAGTGAGTGCCAGGATAGGCTCCAAAACAGTACAGAGAAACCAAACATACAAACAAGCAAAAGAATGATGTCCAAAATCTACTGTTAAATAATCAAGCTGAGGCTGAATATGGTGGCGCACACGTGTAACTCCAGGACTCGGGAGGCTGAGACTAGAGGATCATACATGTCTAGTCTGGACTATATATATAATGAGTTTGTGGCCAGCCCATACTACAGAACAATTCTGCCTTAAAATACCTAAAAGAGAAGTGGGGGGAGCTGGGAAAAAAGAGGGGCTATGATTTTACTTTTGTTAAACCAACACTTCCAAATAAAGAAAAATCTGTTTTATACATGTAATAGTTTATGGGCATAAACTATCATTTCTCAGCTCTAAGACCGCAAAATTTCTAAGAATCAAGGAAACAATGTTTATTCAAGACATTAGCAATGGTTCTTTTCAAAGCAGGATTTGGGGAAGGAATGGGCTGTTAAAACTTTACTTCATATACTTTTAATACTGTTGGATTATTGAGATAATGAGATGCTTCTAAAATTAAATATACATATGACAATAAAAAAACAAACTTTTGTTCCAGGTGAAACAGATGAAGATGTAGCAAATAAGCTATACTGACTGGTTTTTTATGTCAACCTGACATAAGCAAAATTCATGTGAGAGGAAGGAACTTCAATTGAGAAACACTTCCATAAGATGGGCTGTGGGCAAGCCTGTTAGGCATTTTCTTAATTAGTGATTGATATGGGAAGGCCCAACCCATAGTAGGTGGGACCACCCCTGGGCTGGTGGTGCTGGGTTCTGTAAGAAAGTAGGCTGGGCAAGCCTCTGCATCAGCTCCTGCCTGCAAGGTTCCTGCCCTGGCTTCTGTCAATGGACTCTAAATTGGGGTATGTAAGCCAAATAAATCCTTTCCTCCCCAAGTTGCTTCTGGTCATGGGGTTCCATCACAGTAACAGTAACCCTATTTAACATATAAGCCTGTTTGCTACTCCTTGTTTTAAAATTTATTACTTTATGTGAGTGTTCTGCCTGTGTGTATGCCTGTGTATTATGTGCATGCCTGGTGCCCAGATATGAGAAGAGGACACTGGATTTCCTGGAAATGAAGTAACAGGTAGTTGTAAGCCATCATGTGGGTGCTGGGAATAGAACCTGGGTCCTCTAGAAGAATAACCAGTGTTCTTAACCCCTGAGCCATCTCTCTGTCCCCTTATTACACTTCAATGGACACTCACATCAGTCATCATCATTTAGGAAGCTTAATTTTTTTACATGTGTGTGTGTGCGCACATGTGTGTGTGTGTGTGTGTACATAGGCATGTGCATGCACATGCATAAATCAGAGGACAACTTATGGGAGTCAGTTTTTGAATTTGCCATGTAGACCCCTGGGATTAAACTCAAGTCATCATGCTTAGCAGCAGGTGCCTTTACCCTCTGAGTCATTTCACTAGCCTTTTCTCTTTTTAATTAAAGAATTACATTTGTATTTGTGTATATGTGTGTACATGTATGTGCATTTGTGTACCTGTGTGTGTTATGACATGCGTCATGGTGTGTTCATGGAAGTCAGAGTTACTAGGATTTATTCTCTCCTACTACGGTGGGTCCTAAAGTGCCTTTATTCAGAGTTATCTTGCCAGCTACAATCTTTTCTTAAATCAGCTTGACTATTTTTGTTCAAAATGCTTTAAATCATGTCTTATAGTTAAAAGATACTTTGGAATATTTGCATATACAAAATGAGTTTATCTGGGGATGATATTCAAGCCTTAACATGAAACTCCCACCTTATAGCCCAAAGGTAATTTTATACAGTATTGCTACTATTACTGTACACATAACCAAGTTTCACAGTATGGAATTTTCTACTTGTAGTATCATGATGGTATCAAAAGTTTCTGTTTGAAGTATTATGGATCTTCAAATACTCTACCTGCACCAAGATCCTAACATTCACTTCTGAGAAGAAATATGGCCTTACTACTTAGCCTCTAAGACCAAGAGGACACTGAAATAACTTTCCTCTATGCTACAAGAAGATAGTAAAATGAAAATGCAGAAATAATTCAGGTCACATACATGTCCTCTGGCTGTGGTAGGATACAAAGAGCAGACAGCAACTTAGCTGCATCAATCATCATATTGGGAACAGCAGGATCCATGGCTCTGACCAGCAGTAGGATTCCTTCTTCTGTCTCCAACATGGTTTTGATTCCAAACTGGTAAGACAAGAACAAAGGAGGGAGGCTTAACAACAACACACATAAACAAGGACATGTTCAGAACTTTTTAATGAGTAGAGTGTTATCTCCTTAAATACATGTAAGAATCTTAACTCCCGAGAACCCTAGAATGTATCCTCTTGGGATATAGTCATTGCAGATAAGATAGGCTAAATGACAATGAAGTCACATTAGAGTAAGGCAGGTTCTTAATCCAGTATGCCTGGTCCCTATATAAGGGAGGAAATCTATACCCCCCCCCACACACACACAGAGACAGAGAGAGAAAACACATCACAAGAACATGAAGCAGAAATAAGAATATGCATCCATAAAGCAGTGCCAATAAGCTATTAGAAAACAGGAGAGAAACACAGAACACACTCTCCTCCCAGACTCAGAAAGAACCTGCTCTGGCTGACATAGGATCTAGGACTTCCATTCTTCAGAACTGAGACAACAAATTTTTGTTGTTTAACACACCCACTTTGTGGACTCTAGAAACTACCATAGTAGTAGAGAATATTTTCCCAATAATAGCTGAACAGAGCAGATTACAACAAAGTAAATTTCCTAAGACACACAACAAAATTTCGTGTCTACATAGTGAGTTCCAGTATAGCCAGGGCTGTATAGCGAGACCAGAACCTGCCTTTGAAATAAATAAATAAATAAATAAATAAATAAATAAATAAATAAATAAATAAATAAATAAAAATTCTAAAGTAGGAATGAATATTCTGGAAGAAATAGCATACACCTGTAATCCCAGCACTTGGGAGGTGGAAGCAGGAGCAACAAGAGTCCAAATAAACTTAAGGGAAACTTGGACTTCCTAAGATTGGGACAGATTTAATGTAGGAAATCGAGAAGGAAATAAAGTAACCATTTCCAAACAATAACTACAGGTCAAATAACAAGATTAGTAAAAGAACGTAAAGTACACAAACACTCAGCCTACCCTATGAAACAAAAATTAGAACTAGGGGAAAGAATTCCATGGAAGTTCATACCCGTGGCAGTAAAGTACAGTTAAAGTATGGAAAGGAGAGTCAAAGCCTTGAGCCTCAGTTTCTCCATCTGGCAGACTGCTAACCAAGGATAAATAATGAAGATCTAGATGGTGGCTGGCGTCAAAATAGGGAAAAATCTCACCTTGTTGTTCATGAAAGCTTTCAAGCAGCGGATAATCTCATGCTGGTTCCGGCTGTCGTAGCTTCTGCACACAGAAAACATCACCAGTGAAGTTCTTTTATTTTATAACACATCCTCTTTCCATATAATTGTTCAATCTTGCACACAAAGACATTAGGAACATCTTCAACTAGCAGCTAAGTAGAATCTAACAGTTATGAATACAGCCCAGCATATTCATAGATGACAGCATTATGCTGTGATGTCAAAAGGCAGTACAGCTCTACATCACAAAGACTTGACCCAGAAACACTAACAAAAGTAATCAACTGGCTAATACACTTGCAATTTGAGGATTTAGTATTAAATTAAAACCTGCCAATTTGAGGTTGGGCATAACTCAATAGTACAACACTTGCCTAGTAAGTCCAAGGCCCTAAGTTTGAGTCCTAACACTATTAAAAAGTGTGTTAAGTGTGTAAATAAAACTCCATCCGTTAACTCCCTTTAGGCAGCTAGGTACTAAATTCTATCAAGATACTATCCTATCTATTACTCCTTGCCTAATAATTGAAAGGCTTCATATCGGAGAAAGTATACACAGACCCAATCCCTGGACTATTTGTCTCAGAAAAGATTCCCGAAGTATTGGGCACTTTGGATGGCAGCATAGCAGCCTAAAATGGTTTATGGTATTAAAGAATGTATCCTAATCCTGAAGACTACTGTAAAGCTAAACCCAAATTAATAAAGTATACTCCAAGAAAGACCAACAAGAGTAATGTGGCCCAAACCAGATCACATTACAGCTGAGATGAAATCAGACCCTCTTTCCAGACAGAAAAAGAACTGGAGACTAATAATCTTTATTGGTATAGATCTTCCTCCCGCTATACTCTCATCCTCTAATCTCCTCCACAATAAACTTCATTTTCATCTAACAGCATATTCCCCTAGTCCATGACTCTGAATTCAACTGATGTTATTTCCCTTAATGCAAACCCCATTCTGGCCCTCAATCTAGAAAATATAAAAACCCCAAATTTCTTACCCAGAAGTTTCCTCTTTCTCATCATGGAGTCGTTTGAGGATGTCCAATAAAGAGGCTAGGCCCTCAGCACCAAATGTCTGCACCCAACTGTAAGGAATCGATGAGAGGCAATGTAGTATCAACTTAAATCAATAAAGGCTCTTTGACAAATCTATCCTAGAAACCCTTTACTCCCAATCCAGACCTTTCTCATACTTCTCTACCTCCTTTGATTGTGAACTACAGCATAAGTTTCTGGAACTGTTACCTCAGAATTCTCACCTGACAGGGTTATTGTTGAGAGAGACTCGAAGGGACTCAAGGCAACTAAGCAGATGCATATCCCGCAAGCCTGACCTCAGCTCCTGTATGTACATCATGGCAGACCGAGAGCTCTCTTTCTGGTTCATGCCCTGGAAAGAGGCATATATAGAGAGAGGTCAGTAAACCCTGAGCGCCGTCATAAGTTTTGAGCTAATATTCATCAACACAGTTTAAAAAAAATACCAGGACAGACACAAACTACCAAATTATGTGAGATTCATAAACAGTTCATGAACTTAAGTATAAGTTGGAAAAAAAAGTATAGAAAGGTGGCAACTCAAATCAGAGTAACTCAAGAGTACGTTTATCTAACAGGGTTAGGCAGAACTAACTGATAGAGACACAGAACAGTCTATAAAACTAGCAGAATAAGCAGGTCCGGGGTAAGGATGCAGCCTCCTGTCAACAACTGCCCTAGAGCTTACAGCACTGGAAGTGTGCAAATACTGGGACACCATCTCCCTCTTGATGACAATGTCCTTCTCTCTCAAAGGCTGCTGTTTCTCCTCATTCAAGTTCATATCCACCTACAAAGGGAGGGAACAGGGAGACAAAGAGAAAAAATAAAGTTTTAAGTTTTTTTGGTTTTTTGGCAACACTATGTAGCCCAAGATGGCCTGAAGCGCACTATGCAGACCAGGTGTTATCTTAAACTCACAGAGATCCTCCTGCCTCTTGTAAGTTTTTAGTGTTTGATAAAGTATATTTATTATACTTAGTAATAAGTTGAACACATTAAACCATTAGGGAAAAAATGTGTTTTCTTCACTCCTAGAGGTTTAAGTTATGGTAACCAATAAAAAATTCCTCAGGGATAAAATCTAATTCATTTCAGTACAGATCCCCACAGACACCAACCTTGGTATGATACCTAAATGCTGGCATACATACATTCAACACTTTAAAATACACACACTTCTGATAGTTCCCCGGGAAACAACAGACTCTTGATACATTTTCTTTTGTATTACTGAGAGGAAACCATATATAATATTTTCTGCATTAAAGGCAGACCTTCATCTCTCCAGGACTGGAGAGCTGCTGTCATCAAAAAAAAAAAAAAAACCACTAACAAAATCTGCCCAAACTCTGAGGACTATTGCCTTATACTGGTTATTGCAGAATGTCTGCTCAAAGTGTACCTCTTCTGGAGACAGCAAAGTCACAACCATGCATAGCAAACAACTAAACCAACTTCAAAGGCCTTCTATTTGTAAGCTGGCTTTAGCATTCTCTTTCCAAACTCTCCACTAAACAGAGGACCTGGGCAAATGCTGCCTTTGTATTCTTCAGTTTCTTCTTTGTACAGAGCTCCCTGTGAATGTTTCCGCACTTCATCGTCTCTGACTTAGCCTCAAAGCGGTCACCACACTACCACAGGGCTTGGTCTACTCAGACTACATTTTTGTGGCTAGAGTAGTATCTCAGATATCAGTAACCAGATATTCCGAAGTTTAATGAACTGGAATTTACATATTTAGTCATTATTTCAAGGGATTAATATTAAAACATTTCACATTAAGCCTAGAATCCTTCATAGTAAACATCAACTTAGAGACCATACATTTAAAAACTACCAACCACAGTCAGACAAATGCCCATCAGTGCATGCTGAGAAGGCAGCGACATCACTTGGAAGGTGACTTACCAGCATCTGCTCAAAGAAGACGAGGACTTGTTCATCAGTAATGTCGTGCAATGGCTGCACAGTGGGGTCATCTCCATACATTGCAGAAGAGTTTCTGTGAGCAGAATTGGGCTTTTCCTTCTCCTTCTTAATCCTCATGCTGGTAAATCTCTCCAGCTAAGAAACAGAAAGAAGTATTAGCAGCTATCCACATTCCTCATCTAACAAACCAAACACCAAGTAGCCAACACTTTATCCTCGTACACCGGCTTAGTATTTTTAGTTTATGCAGTCAAGATTTATATGACTTAAAAAGGAAAAGTCATTTTTCCTCAGATCTAACACAGCATACTGACTTTATTCTCATATATAATAAAGTATAAGGGACAGAAAATGCTGCATTAAGGCTTCAAACCTCTCTAGGCTGGTGTAATGGCATAACCTTTAATCCCAGCACTCAAGAGGCAGAGCAGGTGGATCTCTGAGAGTTCAAGGCCAGGCTGGTCTACAGAGTGAGTTCCAGGACAGCCAGGGCTATGTAGAGAGACCCTGTCTCAAAAAAACCAAACAAACAAAAATTTAAAAGCTCTCTAAAAAGAAAACTGTTCTAAATTTCCCCTGCTATTTCTAAGCCTTCTATTTTGTATATTGTTCTATTTGTATTTTGTTCTATAAGGTATAGAACCAAAAGTATCTCATGTACAATTTTATCTCCATAAAATGTTCTTCGTGTCCTTCTAGCCACACAATAATAAATGTGGCTAGGGTCCATGAGGATATTTCCCTTCAAGAGGTATCTGTAACCACAGAATTTAAGATAAATAAGCCATATGGGATAAAGAAGCAGATGTCTTAAAAATCAAGAAGTATTCCTTACTCTCCCTTTTGTTCCATGGCACTTCAGATATGAAAATCGCCAGAGTTCAAAACATATTCATTCAAATCTCTTTGCATGACATCTACTCAGCAAAGAATACATTCTACTTTAGAGGTACATATGCTATTTCCCTGCTAAACAAATACTAATGAACCATCCTCAAACCTTAAATATAAATGCTCACAGTAAAAAGAGCCACCAAGGAGTGCAGCATTGGTGGGATAATGGTGAGCAGAACTGTCTTCTAAAAAGAGCCACTGAGTCAAGTATGGTGGCACACACCTGTAATCCCAGCATTCCAGAGGCTAAAACTGAAAAGTTCAGGCAGCCAGTGCCAATATCAAGTTCAAGGCTAACATGGGTTACATAATAAGGGACCCTATCTGATGGGGGTGGAAGAAGCAGTAAGCTTCAGCTTATCAGCTCAACACACCGAAAATATCAGTAACTGTATGCAAAAACAAAAACAAAAACCACTGTGGGGCTTCAAATGATGCCAGTGGCATCTAGAATGCAGATAGAATGCAGAAAGAGTTCTAGTTTAAAAACAACAAAAAAAAAAAAAAAAAAAAAAAAAAAAAAAAAAAAACAAAAAACTGCCCAACTGTGGAAGGAAAACAAACAAAAAACCCACCAAGAAAAGCATGCAATGGGTTAAACAAGGTTAGAAAAGATCTGGGATATTCTGACCATGCTCCATTACAAGTAAAGTTACAGAAACTGGCCATTGTTAGGAGTAGAGGAAACGAGCCAGAACATGCACATGCCCAATACGTATTTCCTTACCTCATCTGCCATGAGCCGCTTCAAAGTCTAGGAAACAGAGAAAAAAGGAGGAGAAGAAAGACAGATCAGTGAAATATCAAGGAATCTCCCAACACCAGAGTGGTTGAAGGGAGAAAGGAAAAGAAAATAAACAGAAAGGCCTTAAGCTACCATCCACACACTAACAGATTTCTGCCAAATCTGCCAAATCTGTGGCTTAGTACAGGCTCTGGTAAGGGGCAAGAGAAGTTATAAGCACAGTAACATAAGATTTAGGTGGGAGGGGGAGAAGGGGGGTGGAGAATTGAACAGATCCTAAAACCATGCCCAACCAACTCATGAGATGTGTTCAATTTCATTAGTAAACAAGGAAACACAACATAGAATCACACTGAAGCCTGGCCTAGTTGTGCAAACCTGTACCACTACTTCCTAGCTACTTGGTTGGCTAAGGCAGGGATATTGTGAGTTCAAAATCTGTGTGGGCTACAAAGTGAATCCAAGGCAGACCCAAGAAACATAGTAAGTCAAAACTTGAAAAGGGAGGGAGATGAGGCTGGGTTAAAAGCTCAGTGGTGGGGCCTGGAGAGATGGTTCAGCAGTTAAGAGCACTGACTGCTCTTCCAGAGGTCCTGAGTTCAATTCCCAGGAACCACATGGTGGCTCACAACTACCTTGAATGAGATCTGGTGCCCTCTGCTGGCATGCAGACAGAAGACTGTATACATAAATAAATAAACAAATAAATACATAAATAAATAAATAGCTCAGTGGTGGCCGGGTGGTGGTGGCGCACACCTTTAATCCCAGCACTCAAGAGGCAAACGGATCTTTGTGAGTTCAAGGCCAGCCTGGTCTACAGAGCGAGTTCAGGACAGGTTCCAAAGCTAACAGAGAAACCTGTCTCAAGAAAACCACCAAACAAACAAACAAACAAAAAAAGCTCAGTGGTAGAGTCCTTGCCTAGCATGCAAAAGCCCTAGGTTTGATTCCAAGCATCGCAAATAGATCATAATAATGAAATTATCAGCTCATATTCTCAAGGCTGACAGAAACACAGCTGGTATGTAAGATTTGGGGTCTGATCCCTAGCTTTTTTTATCTGTCTAGTTTTAGAGGAACAACAGCTCTCTCGTACTTTGCTGGGGTTAGCACAAACCCCTGGGCCAACATTCTCACATGAAATCTAATGAATGTACATTATAATTCAACATAGCAATTTGTAAGCATCTGCCCTGCTGAAGTGTGCACTTAAGTAACAAAAGCATGTACAGACATATTGTAATACTTGAAACAGGAAGTCTAAATAGTCAGCAAAATGACATTAGTCCAATAGAAAACAGCTATTCAAAGAAAGTGAATATACTTCCAGCTACTCACAAATACACAGAACCATCAGTTCACTGACACTAACATTAAGAACATGTAAAACCATATTACTTGGGATGTAAGATTATAAAGGGTGCCGGACATACAAGTTGTCCTGCCTACAAGAAGAGCTGGGGTAAAGATGGCACAGAAATTATGGGAGTGACTGGCACAGCTGGAAGGAGACTGATACCGAGGGCCACGACTCAGAGGCAGGATACCCCAGAAATAGAATAGAACCAAACACAAAAGGCAAAAATAGATAGATAGATAGATAGATAGATAGATAGATAGATAGATAGATGTCAGTGAAGTGATTCCTAATGATACTATGCTATACCCATGGATTGCTTCCTAGCCCACCTGTCAGAGAGGCTTCACCCAGCAACTGATAGAAACAAATGCACAGACCCATTAGGCAGATCTCAGGGAATCCTGCAGAAGAAGTGGGGGAGGGGATTGTAGGAGACAGTGGTATCAAGGGCTCCCAAGAAAACACAGAGTCAAATAATCTGGGCTCATAGGGGCTCAAAGAGATTTAACCCCAAACCAGAAGGGTTTGCATGGGACAGACCTAGACCCATGTTATAGTTGTGTAACTTCGTCTTTGTGTGAGACTCTCAACAGTGAGAGCAGGGGCTATCTCTGACTGTGTTGCCACCTTCTTGGGACCCATTTCTCCTACTGGATTGCCTCATCCAGCCTTAACAGAAGAGGAGATGCCTAGTCTCACTAAACTTGATATTTCTTTGGTTGGATGGTATCCATGCCCCACCCCCTTGAAACAGTGGAAGAGGAGTGGATGGGGTCAGGGTGAAGAGGAACTGGGAAGAGGGGAAGGGGGGGGAATTTTGACTGGGATGTAAAAAGAGAGAGAGGGAGGGAGGGAGGGAGGGAGGGAGGGAAGAAAAGAAAGAAAGAAAACAAAAAGAGTGCCAGGTGTGGTGGCACACACCTTTAATCCCAGAACTCTCTGAGTTTGAGGCCAGCCTGCTCTACAGAGTGAGTTCTAGGACAGCTGGGGCTATACAAAGAGAAACCCTGTCTCAGAAAAAAAAAAAAAAAAAAACAAAAAGAAAAAATTATATAGGGCATGATTATCTCAAATGCCCAACAGTGATTAACTGTGACAACTATATGTTATGACCAAGGAATAGGACAAAAAGGTTTCTGGAGTATTTATGATTTTCTATTGCTTGACATGGACAGTAATAATATAGGTGTTAAGTTTATAATTACTCAATGATTTCTATTTTCTTCTACATGTAAACACACCGCCCCCCCCACACACACACAGGTACTTTAAAGTTTGGATACTTTAAGTCTAGGAAGGTGGGAAGTTTTCTTCACCCTATTCAACTTTAACCATATTTTTGTTATTGTTACTATCCATAAAAGGATAGGGTAAATGCCTCTTGACTAACTTATTCAACTAATGAAAACCAATTCTGTCTTCACCACAGAGCTATTTATCTAGCCTTTTGATGACAAGAAGATATACACTTCTATGATCGTGGTCCCCATATCACAATTCAATTAGGTCCAATGTAAACTAAGAATATTTACTTTGCCCCCCAGAGGTCCAGAGGAGGTCAAGTTTCCACTGGCTGAGCATTAACCACTTGTCTAAGAACATAGGAACCTTGCTCAGCACCCATGGAACTTCACATGTACTGTTTATTGGGAGTACAAACAGGAGGATGACAAAGCACTACTCAATCTTGTATCCCAAAGTCATCTGGCACACAGAGGTGGCTGCGCACACCTGTAATTCCAGCATTCCAGAGGCTAAGACAGAAGGATTCAAGAGTCAAGGAAGCCAGGGCTACATACCAACCCGAGCTGACACAGAAAAAGTTCCTGTCTGATGGTGTGGGAAGCAGCAATAAGCTGCAGGTTCATAGGTCAACACACTGAAATTGACAGTAACTGTATACAAGCACTGTAGGGCTTAAGTGATATAAGTGGCATCTAGAAACAAGCCACAAAGGGGACTCGACTTTCCTGAAGCTTAAGTTGTCATAGCCAAGGTTCATCTTTTCTCAACATTGGTCCCCAAATTAAGAATGTTCTCTTTAAAACCAAGAACTAGCTAAGGAACTCTGGGGTGAATGTGATATAAGTAATAGAACCCAGACCTAGACAATCAAAAGGAACTAGCACCTTGTTCTTTCTGTGTACAGACTCTGGGTTCATCTCTCTTCCATCCATTTCCACTACTCTGGGTCCCTGCTTGCTCCATTGCAATGGCCTCTTAAACTATCAGGTGCCTTTAGTTGTCTGCCCTACACCATATCCATTCTCCAAATTGGATCCAAGAAAGAGTACTCTTTCTAAAGCTGGTGTGGTGGACCACACCTGTAGTCCCAGCATTTGAGAAGAGATAAAAGGATAATGAATTCAAAGTCATCCTCAGCTACAGAGTTAAGTCCCACCAGCCTGGGTTACAAAAGATTGTCTCCAAAACAAACAAATCCAAATTCCTTACCATGGTATATGACTCTGCTACCCTTCCCCGCAAGGCTTGCCCCTGAACAAACCTTCTTCCCTCAAATGCTTATTTTTTGGCCATGCTGATCTAGTTGCAGGCCCAAACAGCTCACACTGCCTCACCATCCCAGCCTTTCCCTAGACTGCTGCCTCCCTCTGCTTACACTGTACTAACTCTTGTAGGCCTGGCAGGATGACTGCTCCTCTTGGATAGGCGCTTTTCCTGATGTTTCCAAGATAATAGCTACCTGTCTGACTCACAGTATTGAGTGGGCTACAATTTTCTTTTGATTGCCTGCTCTACTTACTTCCAGATTAAAAAGTTCCTTGAGTGTAGAGCCAGGGACCTAAAAAGCCAATCCCTGGAAAGCCCTCAACGTCGATTCCACCTCTTCATGCCAGCACTGAAGAAAGCAACACCCAGACAGGTAAAGTGAATCATCAGTCACAATTACAAGTCTTCAGATCCCAAAGGTCCCAGTCTGTGTCCCCACATTCTTCTGCCTTATTCCCATTTCATTAGCAGTGTTCTGTCATAGATAAGTAAACACACACAAACATTTCAAAGAAAGAAAATGCCCATTTCCCTTGTTTACCTGGAGCACCATTAGAGATATATCTGATCCTTAAAAATAATTTTTAGAGGCCTGGGATGTGCTCATTTGGTAAAAAGCTTGCCAAGCATATAGGAGGGTTCTGGGTTTGCTGTCAACACCACATAAATCTTACACGGTGATGTACATCTATAATGGAGAGATGAAGGCAGGAGAATCAGTTCAACATCATCCTTGGTTACATAGTAATATCAAGGAAAGACTGGGATATATGAGACCTTGTTTCAATATATATATTCAATATATATATAATTAAAACAAATAAACAAAATAAAATAATCCGTGTTTCAGTGCTCAAGAAAAGCTGCAGTTTCCAAGAAATTCCAACAGAGGGCAGCAACACCCAACAAAGCAAATAGCAGCACAGACCGAATTCTATTTCCGAATCCAATAAAATACCCAAACAAACAGCAAGCTCAGCCACTGAAATGGAAACCTGTTACTACAGGATCCTGAGAATATGGCTTACTCACTCAATGCTGCATGTATTACCTTACATATTCTATACACAGTATTTGAAATGGCTTTGTTTATGTTTGTTTAAAATAGTTTTAATTTTTTTCTATATTACGTGTATGGTGAATGTCTACACATGTGTGCCTGGTGTCCTGGGAAGGTTTTCTATATTACGTGTATGGTGAATGTCTACACATGTGTGCCTGGTGTCCAGGGAAGGTAGAAGAGGCATTAGATTCTGTGGTGTCATAGGTGGTTGTGAGCCTTCTTGTGGATATTAGGAACTGAATGGCCCCTCCAAGTGCTTTTAACTGCTGAGTCACCTCTCCAATACCCACCCAAATCATTCATTTTTTTAATGGAGTCTAAGATGAAGATAAAGACGTCTCTAGATCACAAGAAATGAAAGAACTGAAAGCAATGCACTCCAAGGAGACAAATGCTACTGAAGTACACTTGCTCGGTGCCTCGACAACTCTCCACCTTTTAAGACTCTCCAATCATCTACCCACTCTAAGCACTTCTACTCTTAGTGATGTGCAAATCCTTACTGTCCCACCTGAATGCTACATCGTACTTGCCATCTCTCCAATGGAGTCCACTACACACTACCACTCAAACCTTCAACTACAAAAACAGAGGATGAAGAAAACAAATACTGAACTAAATAAAATCTTAAGATAGCAAAGCAGATCTGGTTCATGATCAGATTAATAACTTCTAGGTAAAAGATAATAAACAAGCCAGTCGATGGTGGCACATGCTGATCTGAGTTCAAGGCCAGCCTGGTCTACAGAGTGAGTTTCAGGACAGCCAGCACTACACAGAGAAATCCTGTCTTGAAAAACCAAAAAAAAAAAAAAAAAAAAAAAAAAAAAAAAAAAAAAACAGAAAGAAGGAAGGGAGGGAGAAACGGTAGGTGCTAACCCAAGACTAGGAGAAAGCTACTCCAGTAGTTAAATCCCTAGGTACCCCTCAGTGCCACTGGAAAACTACCCACCAACAGCAATCTACAAGCTTACTCTCAGGAAAGGGTAAACAGATGTCCTCTGGATTGGAAGCACAGTTGTGGCAAACACTCAGCACACTTCCCCTGATACCCTCAGAGTCCCACCAAACTGGCCTTTTACATAAGGTAGAAGGCCGGAAGAATCTTCTCTAAGGTGGGGGTCCTAAAGCTACTGAGCAAGTCTAAGAAGATCACCTAGAGTACTACTGTCCACGACCAGAGCCACTAGGCATATGTAGTGTCAAATATGGCTAGCTACTGCAAATGAATAATTACAATTTTAACCTAAAAATAAACATTTTACTATGTTTAGAATACCTGACACTCTATACCTACCTTTCCATTTGTTTATAGACTCTAAATACAGAGTAAACATCTCCTGAGAAAATTATCAACAGCCCCAGAAATACAGAGCTTCTTCAACTTGATAGGTATCTACCAAAAACAAACAAACAAAACAAAACAACAAAAAAACCCACAAAACCCTACAGTCAGCATTACAATTAATTATGACAGCCTAAAGATTGCATCGAAGATCAGGAAAAGGGTAAGGATGTTCCCCACAAGAGTCCTTTCCAACTAAGGGACTAAAATAAGGTTCAGGGGATCCAAGGCACTCTAGCCTATACAGTCACCAGGCATATACGCACATGCAGGCAAAGCATTTATACACATAAAATAATCTAAAAATTAAAAAGCAATGAAGAAATTCAACATGATATTTCAAACATAAAACCATTCCCATCAGCACTGCCTAAAATAAAATCCCTAGGTATAAATCTTACAAAGTATGTACAAATCTAAAAATCATAAAATCAAAGAAATAGATAAATAAAGGGATGTTATATACTCATGAACAAGAAGACTCAATTACTTTAGGATCAATTTCTCCAAATTTGATCTACAGATTAAAAACAATCCTACTGCAAGGTGATGGCGATGCAAGCCTTTAATCCCAGCATTTGGGAAGTCGGATCTCTGAGTTCAAGGCCAGGCTGAACTACAGATTGTGTTCCAGGACAGTCAGGGCTGTTACACAGAGAAACACTATCTCAAAAACCCAAACCAAAACAAAAAAACAAACAAACTAAACTAAAACTAAAGTCTCAAGTTATGTTGTGATTAACAACAAATGGATTCTAAAGTTTGATATATATGTATATGTATATGTATATACATATAGTTTGTTTTGTTTTTCGAGACAGGGTTTCTCTGTGGCTTTGGAGGCTGTCCCAGAACTAGCTCTTTGAGACCAGACTGGTCTCAAACTCACAGAGATCCGCCTGCCTCTGCCTCGGGAGTGCTGGGATTAAAGGCATGAGCCACCAGCGCCAAGCAACATACAGATCTTACACCAAGGTAAGATTCAAATTGGGAATGATGGTACATGCCTGTATCCCAACACTAAGGAGGCTGAGAGTTATGAGTTTGAAGCCAGCCTAGGCTAAATGAGTGAGAGTCTCCATTTCAAAAACTAAAACAGGGCTGAGGAGGTGACTCATGAGTGAAGATGCTTGCTACCACACCTTATAACCTGAGTCCCCAGAGAGTAGAAAAACCCAATTCCTGCACCCCAAACACCCCACTCATTTAAAAACGAAGGGGGGGGGAAGGAAGCAAACAACTAAAAAACTACAATGTATATAATGTATTCTGTACAGACTGAACTGAAGTGAACATCACCAAAAGCTTTTACTCCAAGCCCCAGCTGGTAGCATTTTGGACGGGTTGTAGACCCTTAGAAGGTGGGGTCTAGGTGAGGGAAGAAGGCGCAGGGAGGGGAGGTGTCTTGGGGGTACATTATCCCTGACAACTTGTTTCACCCCCTAGTTTGGGATAAACCATAAAGTGAACGGCTCTCATCTGTTACATGTTTCTATATGGTGCCAAGCTTCCATGGACTGAACTATCTTGAGCCCTAACAGATTCAAGCTGGTGTCACAGCAAATGCCTATAATCTCACAGAGCAAGGCAGAGAGTTCCAAGTTCCTTCTTTAAGTGGTTTCTGTAAGGCATTTTGGTTACAGGGACAATATAAAATACATCCCTGGATGCCCAGGACAACAAGGAAATATCCTGACACTGCATTCCTAATGGAGAACGTAAAGTGTAAAAATTTGTGTTAAGGCTTTTAATATCAAAGGACAATTAATACACTTAACTAATTTTTTGTCCTAAGAGCAGAATGGACAAACTTTAAAATAAATTCAAGTCATTTTTATCCTTTTTTAAAATGGGAAATAACCACCCTTTATTGGATCCTCCTACTTTGACATTCTCTACATTGTATCTGACAGTGACAAAGTATAGAAGCAAACACACCTGATATTTGCTGCTTCAATATTACAACTTAAGTGTAAATATTTGTAAGTTAAATTAAAGCCTGCTTTTTATTAAAAGTGTGCTCTAGAAGTTGGATATCACACTGTATACTTATAATCCCATATTCAGGAGGCTATGACAAGGTAATGGGAATTTTGAGGCCAGCAAGACCCTGTGTCAAAACAAAAATAAACAAAAAATTCTAATCTAGAAACTGGAATATCAAATGATATGTTTTCTTTGATATTTTCATTTATGTGTATGGGTATTTTGCCTGCATGTATCTCTGTGAAACACATGCATGCCAGGTGGCTGTAGAATTCAGAAGGTCATCAGATCCACATGAACTGGAATTACAACATGGTGTTAGACTCCTTGTGAGTGCTGGTAATTGAACCCAAGTCTTCTAGAAGAGCAGTTATTTATTTTAGCAACCGAACCATCTCTTCAGCCACTCAATGATTATTTCTTTTAGAAAAATCAGTTAGAATTAAATAAAGCATCCTTTAGATAATTATGAATCTCTCCTCATATTTATGGGAGGCCCACTGTTCATCTTTTAATCTTTAGAACTTACATTTTAAATATTTTTTCTAAAATAATGACGTTGTTATGTAGCTAACATATATACATGTTATGTACCAAAGGTTTAAAAAAATGTCCCCATGCAATATTGTTTTTTTTTTTGAAACAGGTTCTCATTGTATAGCCTTGGGTGACCTGGAATTCACTATGTAGAACAGAGTAGCTCCAAACTCAGAGCTCTGCCTCCCAAGTGCTGGAATTAAATAAAGCATGTGTCACTTTGCCCAATGTATGAGTATACTATATACCACAGTGGGTATTTTGTATTTTATATCTAGAGAGAAATAAAAGTTAATTTATGCCCATACTGGAAAACTCTTTTAAAGATACTTATTTATGGCTCAATGTTTAACAGTGTGTACTGCTGTTGTACAGTCCCTGATACTGTAAAACTGGAATTTCTAGAAATCCTGGTTTAAATTCAGTTAAAACGATAAAATAGTTGCAACACAGTTCAGAGACTGATATTCTAAAATAATACACTTAAAATTAAAAGTATTAAACAAGACAGTGCTCAATTTGTTTCAATTTTAACTATTCTGGGCTCCAGGGTCTTGCTGGTAACCTGGCCCTACTACTTTGACTGTGGGGCTGGAGAAATAGCTCAGCAGTTAAGAACACTTGGTTGC